CATCCTCTCAGTTAAGATCAGTGGTGATGTGTGAGCAAGGCTGGCAAGCTGAAAGACTTGCCTTTGAAGTCCATTACCTGGACTGGTGTGTTGATCATAAGTAGGGGGATTCTATAGTAAGGTGCATCTGCTCTAGGCACTTCACTAAGGCCTGTGTGCAGACTGCTTCATTTCCTTGCCCCAAAAGATTCTTTTGAGAATAATGGAGAATCCTCTCTATTTGGGCATTTTATTAATAATCCACCTCAGTATACACATTTGAATGACACAAGAGCAAAGTCCTCCGTGAGCCCAGAGGAGCTTGTGCAGATACTCATGGAGCTGCACAGTCTCCAGATAGAGGATCCTAAAAGAAGCAGACAGACTCTAATTCTGCAGACCTCTGAGAAGAGTTGATATGTGTAGCTTCAGGCATCTTTCAGGGACCAGAGAGGACTGCGGTGTATTGTAATTGATACCTGCAGGGACTCTCTGCAGGGTCAGCCTGCCTTTGTACCCACTCTTTATTTTTTCCTCAGTGATAATTTGGACTTGCCAGAGATGGTGTTAAGATTCTCCAGCTCTAATCATGACACACGGTGTATGCCCATGAACCACCTGAATCGACCTGTTGCTGATGAGAAAACAGTCAGAGAACCAGAGAAGCCACCTTTCCATATTGGCAGTGTCCGGGTGGAAGCTGTCCAGCATCTGCTCGAGAGGGCTTCTTGCCTGGGTGGAGGTTTGGACTTGGGTTTTACTCTCTGCTTTGAAACAGTCACACTTTTTCAAGTAACTGTACATGCTAGTTTGATAAATTATAAAACCCTTAAGCCTGGCTTCAGGCTGTTTTTTATTTATATGAATTGCAAACTAAGATGATGTAGTTTTCCTTCTCTTTTGAAAGTACTATTTCTGTGGATATTTTTTCTGCATCCGTCAACTTAGGTGAGTGTGGACCTCAGTCTCTGGATTATGTGGTCACTTGATACATACTTTAGTTTTGGTGGTGGCTTCCGAAGAGAAAGGAAGGGTGACAAGGCAGTCCATGAGATGGGAGCTAGGAGTCAGGGTCCTGTGGTAGAGGGAGCAAGTGCTTTGCTTCTGGCAGCCTTAGGGCTGTTTCTCTCCTGCCGTGTTCCAGCTGTGAGACCTTCTGCGGATTAAGTGCTAGGAGTCTCACTCTGCCTGTGTCATGAGAGGGCGCCTCTCCTCAGGTTGCCGCAAGAGTCGGCTGAGATGCCACTTGATGTCAAGTGCCTGGCACAGTGGTGATAGCTGCCTTCCTCAGGACCCCCGGGCCTGATCACTTTGGGTGAAGCTTCCTCACGTGAGTGTGCAGGGTGCTCCCATGGGCCTGGCTTTCAACTCTCAGGGCTCTGTGAACTGGGGAGCAGGTGCTCCGGAGTCATCCCAGTTCAAACCCAGAAGTGCTTATTGATTGGGTAGAAATTAAGGCCCATTTACCATTTGGGAAAGTCACAAATGTTTTTGACACATGCGATGCACTCATTAGCGCTGAAGGAAGGGAGAGGACCGTGAGGCTTGCTGTGAATGGACAAGGCTAGTCCTGCTTGTTTTATTAGGTTGGTGCAAAAGTACTCACGGTTTTTGCCATTAGTGACAAAAAACTCCTTTAGTTGAACAGCAGGCATTGGAATTCAAGAAAGAGAGAGAGACGTTTCCTGAATCCCTGAGCTTAAACCACATTTGGCAAGATGATTAACCATATTTCTTGGTAGTATTTTATATAGAACCAGAAGTTTTCAAGTTACTCTTAAATTTGTTTCATTAGTTTTTGGAACACAGTTAGCAAACAGACATTCTCAACGTTTATGAAGCGGTGAACGTCACATTTAAATATTACAGGTTTTATTTTTTGAGGTTGTATTGTGTGTTTAATGAAAATGGGAAAATGCAAGTTATGGTCACTTCAAAATACTTTAAAGTAACTTGTTTTTCTCAATACTTGTTTACTTTGATAGAGACCAGATACAAAAGCATTAGTTTTCTTGAAAATATGTATATATTTTTATGTGATGCCATGGTCAAGAATGCAGAAGCAGGATTAGAATCTCTGCAGTGAAACTGAGTTTCTGACTTTGGTGTATAAAAAGATGAGTCCTGGCCATTGCTCCTGCAGGAGTCAGATTTTCAGTGTATTTTTCCTTTGAGTCCATGGTGTTATACAATAGGCACGTTTCTGTGGTGTGGGAGGGTGGCTACCTCCGCATTAAGCAGCTCTCTCTAGCCAGTCATTATGTGGCCAGCACTTTGCTGGGAAGAAGTAGGACTCGGGTGCTGGCCCCTCTCGAGCCTGTCTCTATGCCCTGCCAAGCCTGTGCAGTGGCCTGTGCCTATTAAACTTACATCCCAGGAATTGATTATGAGCCTACTTACTTTCTGGGATTAGGAAGACCCACTGAATTCAACAAGTGACTCAAAAATGGTCTTGTATTTCCTGATAATAAAAAATGTGATTAATACCAGCACTTAGCTCCTGTGGTTAAAATCAGGAATTCACAAGGTAATAAATAGATAAGCAAGGTAAGGAGTCATAGGATTCGACTCAGATGTGAGTTCCAACCTCACAAATACATTCCAAAAGAGGGCCTGCAGACTGCAGGCGCCTGTAGTGCTGCAAAACTGTCAGTGAGATTTCTGTTGCATAAACAAGCCCGCCGTCGTCACTGAGCCTGTCCCCATGTGACTCTGAGGGTGGCTGGTCACCGAGCCTGTCCCCGTGTGGCTCTGAGAGTGCCTGGTCACCGAGCCTGTCCCCGTGTGGCTCTGAGGGTGGCTGGTCACCGAGCCTGTCCCCGTGTGGCTCTGAGAGTGCCTGGTCACCGAGCCTGTCCCCGTGTGGCTCTGAGAGTGCCTGGTCACCGAGCCTGTCCCTGTGTGGCTCTGAGGGTGGCTGGTCACCGAGCCCGTCCCCGTGTGGCTGTGAGGGTGGCTGGTCACCAACCCTGTCCCCATGTGGCTGTGAGGGTGGCTGGTCACCAAACCTGTCCCCATGTGGCTGTGAGGGTGCCTGATCACGGAGCCTGTCCCCGTGTGGCTGTGAGGGTGGCTGGTCACCAAGCCTGTCCCTGTGTGGCTCTGAGGGTGGCTGGTCACCGAGCCTGTCCCCGTGTGGCTCTGAAGGTGGCTGGTCACCGAGCCTGTCTCTGTCTCCATGTGGCTGTGAGGTGCCCATCTGTGGGTGGCAGGATCTCTCTCATTCATGAGCCTGGGATTGGCTCGCGCCAGGAGAGCCTTGAGAAGATCCTTCATTCGGCTGTGCAGCATTTCAGCTCTTTTTCAACATTTGAAGAACGAAAAGACAAATCTCCTGGGGGCAGATATTTTTTATTTTCTCAAAATCACCCCATGGAATTCCAGCACAAATTGAATAGTAATGGATAAAATTAAAACTTCTTCCCAAAACTCAGTTGATTTATTCCTCATGTTCTGCCTGTTTTGAAATTCCAAAATTGACCACATGATTTTTTTATGTACCCTTTTGTGAAAGCTCTCTGAGGCACTTGCCACTCAAGCCCTAGTTGTCCGTTGATATATAATAATGTCGATTCTGCTGGAACTGCAAATGGGACATTATCTTGGATTCCACCAAGCTGGTTTTTGAGGACCACTCTGCCAAGACAATACAGGGTCTATTTATAGGTGGTTTGTAATTCAGTTACCTGCACAAGCAGAACCTTGCCAGCCGAGTTTAGGATCATAGTAGAATCCTGATTTGGAGACTGCTTTATTCAGGAGCCCTTTCCCACCCTCCCACCATGAAAGCACGGAATACCCAGCCTCTTCTTGTGAGATAAATGAGTATGAAGGAAGAAGCCAGGCGACTATGAAAACCTAAGTTTAGCATGATAGCTTAATGACTTATTTCCAGAGTCTCTGTGGGCAGAGTTGCTGCAGACATTGATTTGACTCCGAGCATATTCCTTGTAGTCCAACCCGAAGGCACTTCCTGCCTCACAGGCACGCCTCCTCACCTTACGGCCAGCCTCAACCCAAATGGCGATTCCAGCATTTCATTCTTTATCCCAGCCTCTCCCCTTAGGAATTTTCTCCCGCTTCTCAAGCTTTACAGCAAAATGTACTTTTAGATACATACTTTTTTCACATTTTTTCTCATAGCGGATATGATCTGACAATGCACTGTACTTATTTAAAATTAAAATCCTCATCTCAGCTGTTATGTGTAACTCCTCAAATGTAAGAACAGCTCGAACACAGTCCTGAGTATCTAGTGTTTGTTAGGGAAGAAGGGGGCATTTCCCTCCTCCCCACCCCCAGCTGAGGGAAAGAAGCCCCCAGGCTGGCCCGCTGTTTCGGGGAGGAGGCTGAGACGCGCGGAGTCTCCACTCTGCACTCCACTCAGGAGCAGCTGCCAGAGCGGCCACACTCCGCCTTTGGGTGAGAAAGGGTGCCCCCGGCAAGCCAGGTTCCAGGGTGGAGTGCAGCTCCTGTCCTCATGGAAGGTTAACCTATCTAGGTGGTGTCTTAAGTTTCTAGATCAACACAGAGGCCGGTGTAATTCATAATGAAGGTGAAATCGTTGTCTAACAAAATCATGAAGCTCTGGAACGCCAGTGTCCCTGTTTCTGATGGGAGATTCTGGGAGCTTAGTCACCACAACACTTGTTTCTAGGGAGATGTTTACTCAGAATTCCATCGAGGCGGCTTGCCAGCTCCCTTCTGACATTAACTTCTGCCTGTCATCTACCACCCCACCTAGTACGCAGCCAGAGTGTGTGGCCGCCTTGCTCCAGGCCTGCAGTTCAGGCCGACCAGAAGGGAGAGAGGCCGAAAGAAGCCTGGCACTCAGCCTTGTCTCCTAAGTGCCAGGTGTGAGTGCTAGGTGTGGGTGCCAGGTGTGGGTGCCAGGTGTGGGTGCCGGCTGTGGGTGCCGGGTGTGAGTGCCGGGTGTGAGTACCGGGTGTGAGTGCCTCCTGGGTGCAGTGAGGGATGAAAGTTGATGCTTACCTGCCTTTTAACTCTTCTGCGCACCATAGGGCGATGCCAGTCCCTCCACTCCAGATGAGAACGAAACCACGACAACCAGTGCCTTCACCATCCAGGAGTACTTTGCCAAGCGGATGGCAGCACTGAAGAACAAGCCCCAGGTCCCTGTTCCAGGGTCTGACACTTCCAAGACGCAGGTGGAACACAAAAGGGGGAAGAAAAGAAACAAAGAGGCCACAGGTGAAGATGTGGAGAGCTACCCCCAGCCTAAGGCCAAGAGGCACATGGAGGGAAAGCCCGAGAGGGCCAAGGCCCAGGAGCGAGTGGCCAAGAAGAGCGGGCCAGCGGAAGAGCAGCTCAGAGGCCCCTGCTGGGACCAGAGTTCCGAGGCCTCTGCTCCGGATGCAGGGGACCATGTGCAGCCACCTGAGGGCGGGGACTTCACCCTGAAGCCCAAAAAGAGGAGAGGAAAGAAAAAGCCGCAAAAGCCAGTAGAGATAGCAGAGGACGCTACGCCAGAAGAAACGCCGGTGAAAAAGAAGAAGAAGAAGAAGAAAGATTCCAAATGAATCCTCCCCAGCCGGAGCCTTCCGACCACTCAGCTGTTAGGGCACTGCTGGGGCAGACACCTCTGGCCTGAAGTCAGAGCAGAGTTCACCCCAGAGCGTCTGGGCGCATCTTGTGACATGCCTGTGGGCTGCTGGGTCCCGCCCTCTCACCACATCTCCCCCAAGTTACGTTCCCAGGAGGGCCTTTTTGACGTTCTAAATAGTGGCTCTCAGACACAAATAAATTTTCTTGTAAACTTTGAGCCCTTCAGCAAGAGTGTTTAATTATAATCATTACAAATACATGCATTCATGTAAGTGTGCACACGTGTGTGCATGCGCGTGTCTCTGTGTGTGTGTGTGTCACTATCTCTGTTTGCTCTTGGTTCCCTTCAGTAACAATGAATGGTGCTTTCTTCTGAAAGACTCGGCCTAATTAAAGGATTAAGAGGCAATAGCTTGGATTCAGATTGTTCTTTTTGTTCTATAGCCAACCAACATTTTTGCCAAGTGGAAATTATATGATTACATTCCCAAATCAGAGAGGTTTTTTGTTGTGTTTTGGTTTGATGGGGAAACGTTTTACCGCCCTCCCCTCCACTAAGCAGTGGCAGCCGACTGCTCTGAGGTCCTCCCCCAGCCTCTGCCAAGCTTCAGCAGTGGACAGACTCAGGGCCAGTGTCCTCTCTCAGCTCTCACAGGAGGACTCTTGCTGTTCCTGTGCCGAGTGTGGGTACTCTGATGTATTTCCCTTTGGGGGTCCTTCAGGACAAATCACCTACACTGATTTATCTGTCTCATGGCTGTAAATGGTGACTTATTTGTCATGATCAGGAGGCCCTCAGAAGGCTTAAGAAACTGAGAGGCTAAGGCCATGAAACTAAGGTCGGTCTTTGGATTGGGACTGCCTTATGAAAGTCCTTAGAGCAAAAGACGCCTTTCAACCCTGCTCCCAGCAGTGGTGTCGCAGCACCATGCTTGTGCTGCCCTCGCCCGCCGCGCCCTGGCCCATCTCCCTGTGTGCCAGCCGAACTCTCCCTGTGGGTTCACTTGGACGCCTGCAGACACTTCACACCATCCCTGGGACACAGGAGGAGAAAACGCTCGGCTGAGGTTCTGGAGTGCAGCCCTGCCACCTTCCCGGCCCCGTGTCCACCATTCTGCCCTCTGCACTGCCTTCATCTCCTCCTGCTTTTCCTCTTCATCCACGTATGCGTTTATTCCTTTCTCACACTCCCCCACCAGTTCCCAGTTTCCCTGCACCCCCTTTTTCCACGTCCCCATATCCCCAGCCTGCCATGGAGGCCTTGAGGCTGCCTGGCCCTGCTTCAGGCAAACCTGGCCAGGGCCCAGGCAGTGTGTTGTCCTCCATTTGATCTAGAGATTGTGACTGGTGACGGGAACTCAAACTTGCCCCCAATTCTGTGACCTTTTCCCCTTGATTTTTAACTCTCAAAGTCACACATTAGATAAGAAGCATGGTCCTGAGATTCTTGAAATGTAGAGAAAATACGTGAAGGACATTTGGCTGTAGTTTCTAAGGATACTGCGCAGTGCTATTTGTTTGAAAAGACACACACACACACACACACACACACACACACACAGAGGAAAAAAAAGACTCTTATGAAGATAGAGCCTGATGACTCGTCTCTGAGTTTTTCATGTCCCCCCGAGTTTAGAATCGCAGGCTAATAAAGCCTCAGAGGTTTCTGAAGTCACTTTCTCCACAGAGGGCACATGCCCAAGTTCTGTCTGCCTGTCCCATCTTGCCTGTGAAACCAGAGATCCAGAAATAAGTGGAATGCCTGGAACCTAAGGGGAGCTAACTTTCAAAAATAAGTAGATGCTGATTGGGTTTTTGTTGTTGTTGTTGTTGTTGTTGTTGTTTTGTTTTTTGCCTTTTGTTTTAACTTCCTTTACCAGTAAAAATTAGAGCCGGGAGAATATACCAAATTGTGTGCAGGCGTATTTAGGAGGCAGGTGGAATGCGTTTAGGTCAGGCGTGGGTGAAGGGGCTGGATGGGAAGACCAGAGGAGGGAGGTACAGAAGGGAGCTGGTAGTTCCTGGAGTTAGGAATTCCAAGGCAGCCCGACTGTAAGATTGTTCACGTGCAACTGGTGGGTTTTTTCTCCCCCCAGAGATAGGATCTCTTTCTGTCGCCCAGGCTGGAGTGCAGAGGCCTGATCAAAGCTCACTGCAGCTTTGAACTCCTGGGCTCAAGCAGTCCTCCTGCCTCAGCCTCCCCGGTAGCTGGGACTGCAGGCATATGCCACCACACCTGGATAATGATTTTATTTTTTCTAGAGATACAGTCTTGCTATGTTGCCCAGGCTGGTCTTGAACTCCTGGTCTCAAGTGATCCTCCCGCCTTGGCTTCCTAAAGTGCTGGGATTACAGGTGTGAGCCACTACACCTGGCCCACATGCAACTTTTACTGAGAGGATGTAGAATGTGGTGATGATTGTTTTCATAGACTGGAGAAAAGCCTCCTGAATTTTTTATTTTTTTTTTTTTGACGGGGAGTCTCGTTCTGTCACCCAGGAGGGACTACAGTGGTGCAATCTCAGCTCACTGCAACCTCCGCCTCCCGGATTCAAGTGATTCTCCTGCCTCAGCCTCCTGAGTAGCTGGGATTACAGGCACTGGCCACCACGCCCTGCTAATTTTTGTATTCTTAGTAGAGACGGGGGTTTTGCCATGTTGCCCAGGCTGGTCTCAAACTTCTGAGCTCAAAGTGATCCGCCCACCTTGGGCTCCCAAAGTGCTGGGATTACAGGTGTGAGCCACTGCTTCTGACCCCTCCTGAATTATTTTAATAACTGGGCAGCCTGAGAATGAGTCACATACTCGGCAAAGAGCAGATTTGTTCCAAAGGAGGTGGAGACTCTCTTTTCTCTAGATACCCTCAGCTTTCATTTTTCTGTATCTTTTTCAGTTCACTTGGTTTTCTGGATCTAAGTGGAAATTAGAACAACAAAACAAATACTCTGAATTGCATTTTATGCTTGATACTTTAAAAATGGATAGCATATTAACCCTGTTTTTGCCTTGAATTATTTTGCCAGGTAAAAATACATTAATTTTAGTCTTCAGTGCTTTCCTTGGTTCTTTCAGTTTAAAAAGGAAAAGCGGCTCCCAAGGAAATATTTGTCGACTGAAGAGGCTCTTCTATGTTGTCCTGCAGGAACCTTCTCTCCTTTTCTGTTAATTTTAATGGATTATTATTATTATTATTATTATTATTGTATGAGGTCTTGGATGCCTGGCCTTATTCCAAACACTTCAAATAAGTCAACTCATGTAGTCCTCAAACAACCCAGGAGGTAACCATTATCATCATCCCCTTTTACAGAAGGGCCTCTCAGCCTTTTATTTTATTTTATTTTATTTTATTTATTTATTTATTTATTTATTTATTTATTTATTTATTTATTTAAGATGGAGTCTCGCCCTGTCACCCAGGTTGGAGTGAAGTGGCGTGATCTTGGCTCACTGCAGCCTCCACCTCCCAGGTTCAAGTGATTCTCCTGCCTCAGCCTCCCAAGTATCTGGGACTACAGGTGTGCACCATCACGCCCAGCTAATTTTTGTATTTTTAATAGAGAGGGTTTCGCCATGTTGGCCAAGCTGGTCTCAAACTCCTGACCTCAGATGACTTGCCCGCCTCGGCCTCCCAAAGTGCTGGGATTACAAGTGTGAGCCACTGCTCCCGGCTCCCAGCCTTTTTATAACTAGACTGATGCTGTTCCCAGAGGCCCCGCAATGCCCCAGCCCACTATCTACCGTGGTCACAAACCCGCGCCCCTTTTCCTCTATCCTTGCTACAGCTATTTCCACCTGCGAGGCTCCCTATTGCAGATGCTCTTCACGTGTCATTGTTACTTTTCACTGGGAATGGATTTGAAAGCAGCAGGCAAACGGCAAAGAGTTTCACAATTGATTTGAGTTAGTATGATTCGGATGAGCTATAGAAAATACTTTGAGATATGCTGCACGTGAGACATTCTCAATGGATTTTCTTTTCCAGCTTGGTCAAGAGGAGGGTGGGAAATTGGGTGAGTCGGCTTCTTAAACCCTGTTTGCAATTCTGAAAAAGAGTATTTTCAATTTGTAGAAAATATTGATGCTTCTGAGAGTTGAAATCCCAGTGAGCATCTCTTTCCTAGCAGAGGCCATCCCTCTGCCTCCCTCCTCCTCCACCTGTTCACTGACTGGCAGGCACATGCCGAGACCTGTTTATTGAGAAGAAACAGCATCAGAGAAGGCTTTCGGCACAGTCTGTCCGAGTGATCTCAGCCCTGGGATCAGCAGGCAGCGGCTGTACTTAGATTGGAGTAAGAACCTCCTTGTCACCGCCCTGTTTATCTCGCTGGTTCTGCAGCCGCTGCATTTCGGAGCCTGTTGTGCCGGCAGGCAGGGCAGGAGGTCAGGTCGGGTGCTCGGGGTGTGATTTTATGGTGCTTGATTATTAATGAGCAAATTAGTACTGTGTCCTAGTAAAGTCGATGACTAAACTCCTTGCATAAAAGTGTCCGATCTATTTAGGAAATACTGAAAATACTGCAGTGGCATACACAAAGCCTTCATGGAACCAGTAAGAGGCAGGAATAAGCCAGAGAAAGATGGCAGGTAAAGAAGGGTGGGTGGGGCCGGGCCTCGCCTCCTAAGGATGGGTGGGTAGGGGGCTGGTGCAGGCTGTGCCAGTCCTCCCACCTCAGCTGACCTGTTGCGCAGGCATTAGCAGTGAACTTTTAAGGAAAGCAGCAGTGAAGTCTTTAGCTGGGGGGGAGAATTTTGTAATCAGTTATAGCTGAAATTTTCTGTTTGTATATTCTATGTTGAGTTTCCTTAGTAAAAGGTGCGTGGGTGCTGAAAGCAGTTATTTGTTCTGAAAACATTTATTGAACACCGACTCCCGGCTCCAGGCCAATTGACAACAGAGTGACTGACTCATTACAGAGCCTACCCACATTCAAGTTCTATGAATGTGTGTCATTGAGAAAGGACTGCCGTGTCCTGGGTTAATCTCAACACATTGATGCCCAGGACGCAGCCTCCTCCACCATGGCTAGCGAATGTCCTCTCCCCTTTGGCATTCATGCATGAGCTGTGAGAAGCTCTTTGCCAGCTCATTTTACTTGAACCTGAGGAGGAACCGTCTACATTTAACAACATTTCTAACTCTGCGATAAATTCACAAAATTATATTATGTGCCTTCTGCACATAGAATGCATTAGAAATGTGTTTCACTTACGTGGGATGGCTCTTAACAGGTCAGTCTGAAGATAAAGCCCAACTTCCTTCTGCCCCTCCTGTCTCCAGAGGATCTACTGAGTGTGCAGATGGGGTGCACAGGGATGGGAGAGGAGAGGTGGCCTCCAGGTAGCCTCCCTCCACCCACTAACTGGGGATGCCCCTCGAACCTGGATGGGACAAAGACAAGTATCAAC